AAATGGTTTGAAAAATATTTGGGTGATCAACTTGCTCCAAATTTGTTGAAACAAATTTTGCTAGGTTCCTTATCATCAGATCTACTTGGGAAAATTATTGCATGTCATTTTTGGGATATTTTTCTGTAGGATTTTATTTAATCTTGAATATTATTGATAACTTGAAAAATATGTAGAAAAATATATAGGCTTCAGAAAAATATGATTCCAAGTTTGTTAATCTTCTTATGTCATGTACTTCCTAGGAAAAATATGTTTCATGCATGTGCTGTGGGAAAATTTTGAGGTGTAGTTCAAGTACCTTTAATGGCTGATTTTTGTTATTTTTGCTAGAGCACAAATTTTGTATAACACATGCATGTGACAATTTTTGTACAGTGATTATATACTATAAAGAACATAGGAAAAATACTCAATCTGTTGTTTGACACTTTTCATAGTACAAAAGTAATTTCATGCTCATTTTTATGCTATAACTTGTCATTTTTATGTAGGATAGTTTACTTATCCAAATGCCATGAAAATTTTATGGTAGTCCATTTAGGGTAGTATTATGCTACTGTATTTTTCTCAGATTTTTAGGAGCATCAGAAATATATGTTGCTATTCAAACCTATTATTAATTAGGGTTTAAGCAAGTGTTGCTTTAAGTGTGATTAAGAAATTATTAAAGCTTTGGTGTATCTTTGAAGCATTTCATAAGATATGTTAACTTAACATATTGGTAGTAGAAGAGAATGCAGTAGATGACATGTGCTTGTAGCATAGTTTCTTGAATGATGTTGACTACCTTGCTTTTCAACATATCCATTGCATTCATCTCCTTCGATGCACCGATTGCATAGGCACTTACACGCATTGCATCATACAGGATCGCAAACCGAGAACCCAGTCGTCATTCCCGAGGAGCCCGAGGAGCAGTTCGAGGTGCAGCCGCAGGAAGTGCCAGAAGCCGACGAGGAGGACGTTGAGGAGCTTCCGGAGTGCCCCGATCACCGTCCGAGCTCCTTCGAGAGAGGCAAGCCCGAGCATCTTTCTCCCGGTTTGCAATGATTTCATTAAATACTTTACTTTAAATTGATGCATTACGTTCAGGAGTTGTTTACAAACCGCTGCTACATTATACCTTGTTTACCTTTGTTATACTATATCCTTGTTACCCCGGTATCCCGCATGCTTGAGTCAATGCTTAGCCGGGCTTAGACCGGTAGAAGTCGGGTGATTTTCTGTCACCGCGAGCTATAGGTGGTTACCGGATCTGTTTGGATGGCTATGAAGTCATGGTATAACTAAGTGTTAAATGAAGTTGAGACCGGTGGAGACTTGCGGGGGTTTTGGACCTGTAGTGTTTCCGCTCTGCGTGTCGATTAAGGACCGAACCAGTAGTTGGGCCTCGAGTCATGTTGAACGCATGCCTTACATTTAGCTGGCCGGATAAAGTACCTTCCGACCATGAAGCTGGGGAGATTTTTCGGCCGAGTAGATTGCCTGCACAGCCAAGACTGTGCAGGTCAAGGTGTGGTAGGACACGGGCGGGATGATAAGACCAAAGTGCAAAATCGGCCGCCCCGGTACATGTGGTTTTCGACAAACTCGAGATACCGGAAAGTTGACTCGGTGATCAATATCTCACTTTAGCGGGTGAGTGAGATTTGTGTAAGGAATAAATCACCAGCTGGTTAGGAATCGATTCGAATCGCCATCGCTCCTGGATAGTGAGCACTTGACTTGAGTGACTTCATCGTAGTAAATGTTTATGGAACACTTGGGATGCTTATAGTGAATATGACAAGTATGGAAGTTGTTTAATGATCAAGTGGTTATCATTAATTGCTTAATCACATGTTTACTCTAGTATAGGTGCAAATCTAGTCGATGTGTTAATAATAATTAAACTTGACAATAATGCTTTTAGAAAGGTTCTTGAAATGCTAAAAATGCTTCTTTTGCAAATGAGTCAGCTACCCTACTATAAAGCCTTCATAATTCCTTGGTGTCATTTATTTTCGGTTATGTCGGGTAAGTCTAGCTGAGTACCTTCTCGTACTCAGGGTTTTATTCCCACTTGTTGTAGATGGGCAGATGTATTACGGCTATTGTATCAACTGCCTCTATCCTGCGATGGGTGATGCTTAGGACCATGGGCATGGTCATTCCTTACGTCTCCTCTAATGCTTTTGTTGGAGATGATCATTCGCTGGCACTATATTTAAACTCCGTGTGAGTGTGTGTGTGGTTTGAACAAATGACTTCCGCTACTTTTATTCGAACTGGTTTGTAATAACTATGTTTAAACTCGATGTATCCGAGATTGCGAACTTTTATGTAATATGTGATGGTGACCGCTAAACTTATTACGATCATGGCTGGGACACGAGTTGGTTTGAAATCCTTTGTGATTTCACGGACTACCGGGTTATACGGGCTTAAGTTTGTTCAATAAATCGCTTCTCGGTGGATGATTTTCTTACTTAATTTCGTATAATTGGTCGGTTCACATGTGCTCCTCGGGAATGACGATTGGGTTCTCGATTTGCGATCCCTGTATGATGCAATGCGTGTAAGTGCCTATGCAATCGGTGCATCGAAGGAGATGAATGCAATGGATATGTTGAAAAGCAAGGTAGTCAACATCATTCAAGAAACTATGCTACAAGCACTGTCATCATCATGCATTCTCTTCTCCTACCAATATGTTAAGTTAACATATCTTATGAAATGCTTCAAAGATACACCAAAGCTTTAATAATTTCTTAATCACACTTAAAGCAACACTTGCTTAAACCCTAATTAATAATAGGTTTGAATAGCAACATATATTTCTGATGCTCCTAAAAATCTGAGAAAAATACAGTAGCATAATACTACCCTAAATGGACTACCATAAAATTTTCATAGCATTTGGATAAGTAAACTATCCTACATAAAAATGACAAGTTATAGCATAAAAATGAGCATGAAATTACTTTGTACTATGAAAAGTGTCAAACAACAGATTGAGTATTTTTCCTATGTTCTTTATAGTATATAATCACTGTACAAAAATTGTCACATGCATGTGTTATACAAAATTTGTGCTCTAGCAAAAATAACAAAAATCAGCCATTAAAGGTACTTGAACTACACCTCAAAATTTTCCCACAGTACATGCATGAAACATATTTTCCCTAGGAAGTACATGACATAAGAAGATTAACAAACTTGGAATCATATTTTTCTGAAGCCTATATATTTTTCTACATATTTTTCAAGTGATCAGCAATATTCAAGATTAAATAAAATCCTATAGAAAAATATCCCAAAAATGTCATGCAATAATTTTCCCAAGTAGATCTGATGATAAGGAACCTAGCAAAATTTGTTTCAACAAATTTGGAGCAAGTTTGATCACCCAAATATTTTTCAAACCATTTCAGATTTCAATTAACAAATAATAAATGGAAATCAATTCATTTAAGAAATACTGGGCCGCCTGTGGGGAACAGTTGGCCCACGGCCACAACCGCCCGCGCGTCCGAAAGCGCCGAGGGAAGGAAGACGGCCCAACAGGCGTCAACCACTACCGGTTTCTACCGGCCGCCGAGGTGGTGCCTCGCCGGCAAAAGCTTGTATTGGGGCGACGGCCATGTTTCGGCCAGCGTGCCGGGCGGCCATCTCCGCCACGGCAAAGACAAGCTTAACGAGCGCAGGAGTTGTGCGAGGCAATGGCGAAAGCGGCAGGTGCAACAAGAACGGCCGAGAAAAGGAGGAAGAGGACGCTCCACAATGGCCGAGCACGCGGCGGGCGCCATGGACGCTTCGGTGGTAGGCGCTGGGAAGCTCACCTGTGGTTTTAAGGCGGCGCAAGCGCGAAAGCGTGAGCCGAAGGGAGGCGAGGCGGAGCTGGCGGGCGCGAGCAATCGGGAAATGGCGCGCGGCGGCGCGAGAGCTCAACGCCGGCGGAGCTGGCTGGGCGCTGGGCGAGGGCGGAGCTCGAGGCTCGGCTCGGAGGGGAGAAAAGGAGCGCGGCGCGAGTGAGCAAGTGCTTGTGGCACCAGCAGTGAAGGCGGGCGCGGGGCGTGTGTCCGCCATGGCCGCAGACGGGCGACGGCGACGCCGGGCGTGTGTGAGTCGCCACGCCTGGGATTCTTTGTCATGGTCGTGGCGTGGGCCGCGACGGCGCGAGGGCGAGCGGGAGAAAGAGCTGGCCAATGGGTGGGCTGGGGCGTGGAAGCGCGAGGCGCTGGTGGGTGGGAGGTGGCTGGGCCGGCTTCACTGTCGGGCCAGAGCGAAGAAGTGTGTGGCTGTTAAGGAAAAATGAAGATTTTCAATTTAAATTTTCAAGAGATTTTTTCAATTCAGTTTTTCAAATCTCATTTTGAGCAAGAAAATGACATCTTTTAAAATGGACCAAAAATGAAAGTTGCTTAGAATTTAATTCCTACAACTTTGCTTTTATGACCAAAGTCCAATTCTATCTAGATTTTAAATTATAGACTCAAAGTTAAATTTTAACTCAAAACCCTAATTTTGGGAAATTACTTTGGAAGCAAAATTTTGAATTAATTTGAATACAAACCTTGCTCCAAAAATTGTGCTAAACAATTCTAGATGATTTACAAGCATAACCAACAATTTCTACTCAACTAGCAAGCAAGAATCAGAGCAAAACAACTCTAATAAGTGTATGCATCATTTACTTTTCACAAACATGTTTCGTATGTTTCGAAGTAATGTTCCAGTTGTTATATGCAAGATTATGCAGGTATGATTAGGATGCTTGATGATGCATGATATGTATGATTAGGAGTGCCTAAATGTAGGCATAACACCGGGGTGTTACACAACATTCCGATCTACTTTTGCAACATCGATATACAACACTTGCAACATATCTCTCAAACATCTGAAACACTTGAAACATGCGCTTTCAGCGTAGCATCTACTTGCTACTTGGACGAATGAAGGCTCGTCGGCGCAAAGCTCGATGCTGCGGAGTGGCGCGGGGAGAGGGGGAAGGGATGCCAGCGGACGGGAGGCGGCGCGGCCCCGGCGAGCAGCTGTACGGCCACCAACGAGCTGCTGCGTGGCTCTCGGCGACAGGGTGGGCGGGTGCGGTCCCTCGCGATGGAGGCACAGCGCTGCCTGCGGCGAGCATCCCCCACTCTAGGAAGGTGAGCGGTGGGTGGGCAGCGCGGTGGAGTCGGCCACGGAAGACGCATGCGCGCGGTGAAAGAAGGCCACGACGGGGGAATGGGGAATCAACATATATTATTTTTTTATGGAGAAGGCGAGAGCAGGCTCCGTATTGGGCTCCGCAGGCCCAAGAAGGGCGCGTCCGGAGCGTCGGATGCCCTGAGGAGAGCATCTGTGGATTGTTGTTTACCTAGGTTGGAAAAAAACAAGATCATGCCAAACACACCAAAGCTGGCTCTGTCCACTGTCCTTGCCCTGGTCCAACATGTCATTTTCTAGTATAGAACCCTTACTGTGGTAGCGTGGTTCATAAATCATAACCATAACAACTCTGCATTCTAAGGTGGTTCTACCTTCTCACAGAGAATTAATCAGCTGTGTCAGATTCATTCATATACCTTCAAAATCACAACTAGAGATGACAATCGTACTCGCGGGTTTCGTACCCGATGGGTGTGGATATGGGCACAAAAAGTCACCCGTAGATACTTGAGGTCGGGTATCCACAAAGATGCAGGTAGGGTGCGGGTATGAAATTTTACTTGTGTGTACCCGACAGGTATCCGTGATCTAAGAATATATGTGGATATATGTAAATTATGTCATATGCATATAATGTCGACCGACTCATTTAACATGTAATTTATAGCATATGCATATCATGTCAAACTATAAAGATGATATTTTTCGTGAATTGCTAAATATAGTGACTGTGTGAGCTTAACTTGTTACTTTAGTTCTTGCATAAGTTGTGTTGTGTTATTGTATGAGCTGAAGGACCGAATTATGAATATTTTTTGTGAGCTAATGTATATTGTCCCAATAAACTCTACGTAAGTGAGATTGACATATTAGTGTGTCGTTTAACTATGATTTATTATTTTATATCACTATAACTTTTTATTTGATCTCTCTTAAATATACTAAACGGGTACCCATCGAGCGCGGGCGTGGGTACGAAATCTTACCCGTGAATACGCTCACGTGGGTAAAAGTTAGAGTCATGAGGATGCTCGTGGGTGGGTAAATACTTTACTGAAAGAATCGAGATATCGCATGGAGGGGGTGAATAGGCATTTCCTGAAAATATAAAACCTGCAGTAGCGAATAGTTTTGGAATTTTTGACCAGGGCCTTGTTTAGTTGGCGATTTTTTTTTGGGAAATGGTACTGTAACACTTTCATTGTTATTTGGCAATTAGTGTCCAATCATAGTCTAATTAGGCTTAAAAGATTCGTCTCGTGAATTTCGTCTAAACTGTGTAATTAGTTTTATTTTTTATTTATATTTAATGCTTCATGTATGCGTCCAAAGATTCGATGTGACGAGGAATCTTGAAAAATTTTGTAAAATTTTGACAACTAAACAGGCACCAGGCTCGGAATTTCCGAACCTCCCAAGGCAGTGCTGCATCTGCATGCTCTGCAGCCTGCACAGTGTGACGTCGCAATGCGAGAAATGGGTGTGTGTCAGTGGCCACAGCTGTTGTGTCCTCCCTGAGTCCAAAAAGAACGACATTTTTAACTTTCAGGCATCATGTCTTATTTAAAAATTTTATATAAATTATAAAATAAATAAATTATTATTAAAGTATCTCTAATGATAAAATAAGTCATAACAAAGTAGATGATATTTATATAAATATTTTGAATAAGACGGATGATCAAACAAGATGTCTGAAAGTAAAAAACGACACTCTTTCTGAGACAGAGGGAGTAATAAAAAAAGACATACAGCGCATCGACTTCTCTAAAAAGACAGCAGCTTGTTGGCCCAGAAGAAAAGAAAAGAAAAAGAACATATGAGATTCATCTCATACCAAAAGTCAACATCGGGCGTGCCATTGCAATTTGCTAAGTTCTAACATACACACAACACGCGCTCAGCTAAGGTTTATTAGCATAACTCGAAACCGGACAGATACTGACGAAGCCAGCTCAAAACTAACCCTATATCAAGGAATCTATATTATTACAAAAGAAATATATAGAAAAAAATGAGGTAGACATTAGTATTTTTTAGTTTTACCGTGGTACACGTGCACCTGGGAAAGTCAACTTGGCTTCGCCCCTGCGGACAGAGGCTTTGGTTCCTCAGTCTGTGGGCAGGACAAGCCGAATTCCTCCAAGTTCTTCCCGATGATTATTGCTGTCGCGCGAACACCGTTGTCCTGTTCACCTGACTGATAAGCCATGACTAAAAATACTGTTAACTAATTTATTATGAGAGAAAAATACTATTCATTGTCTGAAAAAATACGACATATAAGCACAGCGAACAGGGCACGTGCCGCAAACTGCCACAGGCTATCCTTGGCGTAGTGGGGCAGGCCGGGGATGAGGAAGCTGCACAGCAAGGACACGATATAATAAGCGAGAGTCTGACGCCGATGGTTACGAGGTTCGTCCAGAACTTCTTGCGGCTGGCGACGAGTTTCTGCGGATCCTCGTCCTCCACGGTCACCCGCTCCTCCTCCGATGACGGCATCTCCGAACTTCCTGACTTGTGTTTGTGTGCTCCGCGCGGCGCGCCGGTCGAGCTCTTCGATAATCCGATCTACGGCTCGGAGCCTCGGATCCCTTCTCTTCCTGTAATTTTTTTAGCAACTCTTCCTGTATACTAGTATTATTTATTGAAACGACGAGGGCGCGGCGCTCGGACTCGGAAATAGGCCTCCGGCTCGGACTTAGGTCCAGAAGCCGTTTTTTTTATTTCTTTATTTCTTTTTTTTCGTTTTCTATTCATCCTACAATTTGCTTGTATCCCTTTTCTGGAACACCGGTGAACATTGGTTTAAACTTAATGGAACCATGATAATATTTATTGAAACATTGCAAATGAGCAAAAGGGAACTTCTTTTGTTTTTATGTAGGCACAAATTGTTTTCTCATGAATCTTGAAGCATTTTTCTCTTGAATATGAAATAATTTTCACAAAGCTGTCATATTTTTTTCCTACGGAGCTAGTACACTTTTTTTTCTAATCTAGAAATTTTTCATTTAAGGCCTTGTTTGGTAGGGCTCCTCTCCAAGGGCTTCTCTAGAGGAGTTGGAGCCGGTTTGGGTGTGGCTCCTCCAAAATGACTATGACTCCTCCCTTTTTTCCCACTAAAAACGGCTCCAAACGACTTCTCCTACTAAACCGTTTGGTAGGGCTCCTACGCAAGAGGCGCAGCCGGAGCTGGAGAGGAGCCCTACCAAATGAGGGCTGAATCTGATACATTATTCTCATGTACCTAAGACATTTCTCTTCTAAATATGGACCAACTGTTTTGAGAAAACTAAGGACATTCTCAACAAAAAAATATTACAACTTCAATAAAAATATACTCTTTAAGAAAATATCATCCAATGTATGAAGCACGGATCTTTTTTTAAAAAATTTATCGTAAGACATATGTGTGAAATATAGGCAATATTTAGATAAACACACTTACAACATACATCTGAAAAAACAGATGAAACATTAGGAACAAACGATTACAACATAGGTGTATAATATTGCGACATATGCAACATCCCGATCTACTTTTGCAACATTCATACGAAACCCTTGCAACATACCTCTAAAACAACTGAAACACTTAAAACATACGCTTCCAACATGCGCTTTCAGTGCCATGTCACCTTGAGCGCAGTCTAGAGAGCCATCCTCGCTCTCCATCTTTGGCTAACGACTTAGCGAGAAATCTGGAATAGAGAATATCTATATTTAGATATCCAATTAAAAAAATTGTTGGAGCGTATTTTTTTTCATCAAAATCTTTATTCCTATAAACTAGGAAATATATATAAAGTCTCTCGGAGACGCTCTTACATCGGTGGTCATTCCCTCATTGGAGGATGAATTGAACCTAATGTTTGACGTCTTGTAGTCTCATTAATACAGCTATATAAGATGCCTCGTCAAAAATGTTTTCTTGTCTCACCGGCGCTTAAATAAAGGAACCATCAAAATACCATGTCATGGAAAAAAATCTAATATATACTAAGTTTTCCAATCAAGTGACGGTATTAGTGCTACTCCTAATGATTGTGTTATGGCATTCACTCCAAATTTGCTATGTCATATAAAATATAATTATATATGATACATCTCACCTATTTCAATTGTATTATGACGTCTCGCAAAAAAAAAGGATTATGACATTGTTTCTTAGCGGCAACCAGTTAACCATTGCATCTATTTTACATATGTTAATAAATCTAAGCACTTATGCAGTTTTTTTCCTCCGTATTTCAAACTATAAGTCGTTTTAGCTTTTATAGATACGATATATCTAGATATCAAATAAAAAGTAAAAACTATATATTAAAAAACTTAAAGTGACTTATAATTTGAAATACATGTTTATATAAAAATAATAATTTGAAATGTAGGAGCTAACTTTTGATTTAAACACCCATGTCCATGTGTGTTTAGGATTTCTATAGCACCGTACTTCACTTCCCTTTCTTTTCTCCCACGCAAAGCCTAATCCAATCCGGGCTACCGGCTACCGCCACCGCTGCTGCATATATACTTACCGTTCCACATGCTGCCAGGCCCAGCTGCCCATTCACAAGCCAGGTGCCTCTGCAGCCCAAAATCACCAACCAACCCAAAGCTTTCTTTGCTGCCTGCCGCGGCGCGTCGCAACCCGGGCCGCCAAGATAGGGTCGGAAAGCCCCGCCGCCGACGGCGTCGGCGACCCAGCGCGCAAGCGGCCCAGCGGCAGCGATGGCCCCACCCCGGCGCCCGCCGACAAGCGCCGCCGCCCGGAGCACCCCTCCTCCTCCTCCGCGGGCTCCCTTGACCGCCACCAGCCCCACCACCACCAACCCCACGGCCGCCGCCCGCCGTCTTCCTCGGCCGAGGAGAAGGTGCGCGCCTCCCACATCCTGATCAAGCACGAGGGCTCCCGCCGCAAGGCCTCGTGGCGGGATCCCGAAGGCCTGGCCATCTCGGCCACGACCCGCGACGACGCGGCCGACCTCGCGCGCGCGCTCCGCGACCAGATCGTCTCCGGGGACCGCAAGTTCGAGGACATCGCCGCCGAGAACTCCGACTGCAGCTCGGCCAAGCGCGGCGGTGACCTCGGTCAGTGCTTCGTGCTAAATCCTACTGTCGTCCAAATCCTACTGGCCAACTAGTGTGTATATGTAGGGTTTGCTTTTTGGTGGGCGGTTGATTGGTTGCGTGGATAGGAGCTGTTGTTTTGGATCCTGATTAGACTTACAGATACCGGCTTCTCTAGGACAGGATAAGGAAATATTTGTCTCTGGTGGATAATCCTCCAGTCTGATCTAGAATTCTAGATGCAGTATGTGTGGCTGCCTTGTATGTGGGATGGTTATTTGGATATGGAGTATTTCGGTGTCAAATTGTGCACAATAATGGCAAGTGTTGCAGTTGCACTGTGATCCAGAATTTCAGACGAGAAACATCCTACTCCTTATTCGGACAGTTGCTGTTAATGTGATGCCATCATTTGTGCCAAGTAAGACAAAAATATGCCATCATTTGTGCCAAGCAAGACAAAATATATGCTGCTTCCCTTTAACTTGCTCACCGGCTTGATTGGCTACTTGTGGATTGGAGGCTTTAAGTTCGGTGTGCTGTGCATGGTATTTATTTTTGGAAGTCCTGTGATTCCTGTCCAACTTTATCGCAAACAATACTGAAAAGCTTCTTGTCTAAAACTTTCTGTATTTTTATTGTTGAAGAGCACTTTTTTGGCAAGTATTGTACTATTTGCTAGAAGGAGCCAGGGTGATGAAGCATGTTTGCCAATTTGGATCCGTTACAGCATTAGTTGCTTCATTTGCTCCATCTGAGGAGTGAAGAATAAATCACAAAGATTTGATGTCTGAATGAACTAAATATTTGTCACCTTCATGTGCTGTTCCTGGTATCATGCGATGTGCCTGTGCAGATAGGTATTGTCTAAGAGAACAAAAGAGACACTTATGGCTTTATATGAAAGTTATCCTGTTTTAGCCTGGGTGGTGCTGTGTCGCTGCCGTGCTGGAAAATGGAATAGCTTGTTTGGACATAAAAGATATCTTGTGTTGCATATGCCTTCTCATTGGACGTAGGATTTGACTGGGTATGCTGGTTTGGATAACCGCAGGTGCTAAGTATAGGCTATCTGAAAGGGTAAAGAATGGTGTTAGGGATAGCCGGGAGAGGGCTGGATGGATGAGGGTTTCTGAATGCTGCAGAGGAGTAAAGAGAAGCAGATGAAAACGTGTTTTATGCCTTTGTTAAATTCCCTCTGATTGTTAACCTATTGCTATTTTCAATGAGTAGGCTAGTAGTCTGGTGTTAATACTTGTCTTTGTTGAGAGACCAGGATCCTAGGAATCGAATGTATTGCATGGTAAGGCTGGTAAAAATCTTCAATTATTATGTATGCTTCCACCAATCTTAATGCAGCTTTATTAGGCATGATTCGTCAAATGGTGGATAAATGCTTATCAACTGTGTGTGAGAGCAGTGCTCTTATTCGACAAAGTAGCCAGCAGAATGACGTTTTTTTTATTTGCTAAATAATTTTAGTGCAAGAGATTTGTTGTCAATTTGGTATGTGAGAAACTTGTGAATTGGATTTAGAAGGCATGGAATGTGGAATCTAACCTCGTTGTGGATCGCCAAAATCACCCTCGTCCAATGCTGTTTCGATTCATATATTATCTTCTAAACATTTAAAAATCCACTATCAATAACGATTTAAATTTATGGCTATTGATGCAGGTTCATTTGGAAGGGGTAAGATGCAGAAGGCTTTTGAGAAGGCTGCGTTCGCTCTGAAGGTGGGGGAGATAAGTGACGTGGTTGATACAGAGAGCGGGGTGCACATCATCAAGAGGACTGGCTGATTGCACCTGCGACAGTATCCATATACGGTGGAAACAGGGATGCCTTGGAGAGGCTTTATGGTTTCTTGCTTCATCGGTGAACTCGTGCGTGTGTGTTTTTTCTCTTATGCGCTTGAGAAAATGAGATGTTTGACTTCCTTTTGTAAAATTCGCTGGAGACCTCTGGTTTGGAACTGTGCTCACGGCCACGATGGGATCAGATTATTTTGAGTATGACACTATTGTACGTCGATTCTTTCTGTCATCTCGTGTCATTCTTGCCTCCGAGGATTTACATCTTACCCCGAGAATGCCCTTGAATTCAGTGGCCAATTTGTTCTCTTATAAGTAATCCTGAATTTGCCGTTGCGAGTCTTGAGTGCAGTGAACAGTGAGAGGCGTCCGTATGGGTACGATGCTGTGCTCGCTGCAGCCTGCAGATTCTTTTGCCTGCAGGCTGCAGCTCTAAAACTTTGGACTAATAATGTACTGTAGCAATTTGAAACGAGCAGGCTCAAAAGGCATGTTTGGGTGGATGCCCTACCTGGCCATAGCCAAATCAGGGTATGTCCAATTGATCAAGCCAAAAATTTAATACATGCAAAATATACTATAGCTGTGTATGATGTGTAGGATCCGTATGTCATTTTTTTTTCATGGAAACATGATCACATTGGGATCTTGTTTTCAAGATAAAATGGTGAAGAATATAGAGATTTTTTACAATGGCTGGGAAAGTACCACGGTACCTCCAGGTACTTTCATTTTTTTTTCTATTTTCTAGCTAATTAAATAAGGAAGATTATTTATATGATGTAAATTATATTATAGAGGGCATATTGATAATGGAGGTTGTGTCCTTTCTCTCGTGGGGTTTGTTTCTCTCGGTTGACACGCCTTTCGCTCGGCATCCGACGCCGCCGCCTCGAACACCCCATAGGCCGCCGCCGCCGGGCCCTAGTCCCTCCCGCTAGCCCCACGGGCAGGGCCCTGCTCGGAGCTTCTCAGAGCACGCCGACGCGTCCATGCACACCATCATCGGCAGCAACTTCAGAAACAGGGACACGTTCCTGCCTCTGCTGGAGCGTCGTCTCCGGAACGTACCCACGCAGAGCCAGCCGGACCTCTTCCCGTCCTCGCGCTTGGCGATGCTCGTCAGCCGGACTCTGGCGTTCATCGTCCCCATCGCATTCAGGACATGATGGCGTTCATCGACACCAGCTACACGACCCGCCGCCTCTCCCACCTCCTGCTCGTTCCTACAGTCCGCATGCCCCTGCAAGGGGAGTAGATTGAAATTTCGTATGAGCTTGCTGCCCCCATTTGTGATCCTTGTAACCCCGGCAGGGCGGCCAGGGCCTGGCCATGTGATCATGTGCATAATCACGTTCTTGCGAATTGATGATTAACTCTGGCCGTGCCGTCAAGCAAACGGTGCCTTAAAATATCGATTTACCCTTATCCAAAAATTAGAAAAAAAAAAGATCTAACCCCACATGTTTTGGTACTGGCTCCACCTGTTTTGGTACCATCCTCACATATTTGGTACTTCTACTTTTACATGGGTACCTCCTATTTTGCACCGTTGAATCCCGTCCTATGGATAGTCCATATTTTTTTCAACCATTATAAAATTTCTCAAGAATATAATGGTGAAAAGTGAAAACAAATTGAAATTGGATACCCTTATATATGGGCATGCAGCCCGAGCCCGTCAGCCCGGCACGAGGCCCGTATTTTTGGCCTGACCCAAGCACGGCCCGACCCGGTAACCAGCGGGCCCGGGCTAGCATGGCCCAGAGGAGCAGGTCGTGCCTGGGCCTCATCCTAGGCACGTGGGCCAACACGGCACGGCCCGCTCCTCAACGGTAGGCCTGGTGGCGACCCGCTCTCCGATGGCTCTTTGCCTCCCCTCGTAGGGCGCATTTGGCCCAACCCAGCTATCCCGCCGCATCCCCCGCTCCATATATAAGGAGGCGCCCCTCTCCCTCACCCCCAAACCCTAATCCAGAATACCTCCGCCTCCCTGCCGCGCCTCTCGCTTAGTAGCCACTCACAGCTCACTTGCTCGTCGCTCCTTGTCGATCCAACTCCGACCGTCGACCATCGCCATCGTCCCCAACTCCGATGACCTCGCCGCCGCTCCCCCACCTCTCCCTGAGTCCCCTGATCCCCTCCCTTCTCCCTATCTCTCCTCTGTCCTCTCGGTGACCATGTGAGTTTGTGTCCCCGTCACTACCTCCGCCACCGCTCGTCGTCCTTGCTAATCCGTTTCCTGTCTTGTTGCCTCTGTGTGGCCCTCGTCTTCTCCGGTGCCGGGCTCCAGTTGCGTAGGTAAGAGATTAACCCTAACCCTAACCCTTTCACCCTTCTGACCTTCTGTTATTTCTGTAGGCCGGTTGTCGATGCCTCGTCATTTAGCTGTGGTATAGAGCGGGCAAGGCGGCCACGCACGCCGTTGAGGAACGGGGCTGGAGAGCCGTCGTCCGCGGTCGAGGGTCTGATGGCGGATGACGATGTCGTCTATCCTGTCATCAGCGACGAGGATCTGATCGCGGCAGGGCTGTCCCCCGAGCACAACAACGACGTCCGTGACGCTGTTGCAACGTTGTTCGGTGTCGATGTCAGTAGCGGCCCTGCTCCGATCGATCTAGATGGCGATGGTGCAGGGGCGGCGGCGATGACGACAGGGACGACGGTGGCCTCCAACACCAACAGCATAGGCGGTACTGGTACTCCTACCTCATCTGCTGTCGGTAAGCGTAAGTCTACTGTCTGGGCTGATTTTGAGGAGATCTATGAGGAGGTGAATGGAAACAAGATTCGAACTACTGCTATCTGTAGAATGTATAAGGCCGTTTTGAGTGCTAGATCTGCTGTTGGTACTGGTCATTTGATTAGGCACCAAAAATCTTGTACGAAAAAGACTGATCATGCTGCTAGGGTTCAGTCTAGGTTTGCTTTTAATCCTGATGGTTCTGTGCATAACTGGAACTATAATCCTGCTGTGGCTCGATCTGAGTTATGTCAGTTGATTTTTAGGCTTGACCTTCCATTTGGTATAGGTGAGATAGAGGCCTTCGAGGACTATATTGTTCATGCTCATAACTCTATGTTTGTTAAGTCTTCTAGAAGGACCACCACTAAGAGATCTTGGTAAGCTATTTAATGAACGTCGTGATGTGCTTAAGAATTATGTGTTGTCTGCTGCATCATCTCTTGCATTGACTAGTGACATTTGGTCTGGTAATGCTAAAGAGGATTACATTAGTGTTGTTGCTCACTATGTGAATGCTGATTGGGAGTTACAGAAAAAGGGTATTGGTCTTAGGTTGATTAAAGTGAAACATTCTGGTAAAAATATTGCTGAAAGAATTACTGCTGTGGTTGAGGAGTTTGGTTTGATTGATAAGATTTTCTCTGTCACTCTTGATAATGCTTCATCTAATGCTAAGGCTATGGACACTTTGACGCCCATGTTTGCTAGTTACTTGGGTCCTGATCTTGATCCTTCACCTAATCCTTTGGAACCTAATAGACGTAAGTATAGTCTTGTGCATCAACGTTGTGCATATCATATAATTAATCTGATTGTTAAATCTAGATTAAAGAGGTTGAAACCTTACCTAGAAGATTTTAGAACTATAATTAATTTTTTGAATATCTCTAATCAAAGAATTGCTATGTTCAAGAACTACTGTAATGCTAAGGGTGTTAGACCTAGAAAGTTTGGCTTGGATATGGATGTTAGATGGAATGCTACGTACCTTATGCTGAAACACTTGGTTCCATATAAGGAACTCTTTTATGAGTTCATTAATTCTAATTATGGATCTACACCGTTGACTCCAAATCATTGGTATTGTGCTGAGAAGATTTTAGAGTTCCTAGAACTCTTTTATTACTGCACTGTTGTTCTGTCTGGTGTTTATTATCCTACCAGTCCACTTGTGTTGCACCATGTTCTAGAGATTGCATCTCATTTGCATGCATGTGAAAGAGATCAAAATCTGTTGCATGTTGTGTATCCTATTGTCGGTGTTTTCGGACCACCGACGAGTAAAATTGTATTTGTGCGTCTAGCTCGGATGATGTGCTCGGAGGACACAAGGGTTTATACTGGTTCGGGCGGAACGTCCCTACGTCCAGTTCGCTGATGCTCGTATTACCGGCACTTGGTTTGCAGTAGGGGTTATAAACAGACGAGAGAGGGAAAGGATCCTAAGTCTCTGATGGAAGGAGTGAACGGGTGCTGAGAGCTCGGTTGCTGCTCAACCGTGTGCTCATATCGTGCTCTTGTGTTTCAATCTCATGTTCTGATCTCGTACAGATCCCCCCTTTCATGGGGCGCCCTGCTTCCACTTTTATAAGCGAAGGGAAAGCGTGGGTTATAGCGGAGGAAAAGGAGAAGAACGATAGAGAGAATATTTACACCAAAATTTGGAAGAAGAGTCACAGGGACTCGAAAACTCCCAAGATCATGTCATCAAGGAATCAATTGCGTGCAGATCGGAACCAGCTGATTCGAATGTAAAACTAGAATCGGCTTTCTTCAGATAGCGCCAGCGGATAACGACAAAGGCTATGATCGACGCCAGGACGAGACATGTTGGACTCTACAAAAAGGGAAATATTAGAGTCCAAGTTATCTTAAATTAGGAATGTTTTCTCTAGGGTCAAAAATCATGATGAGTCATACTTAGACAGGAGTCATGCGTAGGTCCTGGGTATAAATATCAAACCCCGGCTATTGTAAAAGACACACAATCAATCGAATACAAGTTATTTACTTTTTCGGCTCCGGCCACCCCTTAGGAGTAGGAGTAGAGTAGATCTCGGCGAGTTCTTCAGCAAGTACAGCTGCATCGATCTGGTCGACCTCCACTGCTTGTCTGTAAGTACCGTCATAGCTTATACCTCTGTTCGTATGGCTGCATCGATCCGGTCGACCTCCACTCCAACTCTGGTATAAGTTAGTTATCGACTCTTGTCTAGTTCAAGTACGGCTGCATCGATCCGGT